TGAAATTATAAATTAATGTGCTTGCTTTGAACAATGTTTTGCAATTCACAAGGAAGCGATTAACGGTTGTGAATATTATACAAATCTATGCCTAAGTACATTTTACATGATTCACAGTTCTTAATCTTAGAACTAGTATTTCCTTACTACGAAGAGTCAGAACCATCTTATAAAAAACGAAAAACACTGATTTCTTACTTTGTAAATGACAAGCATTTTTCAAGTCCAACTATACCAACAGAAGAAATTATTCAAGATGGAAATGACACTGAAAACCTTTTCCTGGTTGTTTCCTGCTGTGAGTGGAATGCCAAAAAAACAGAAATAAATCCTGCCGATATTAAAGCAACCAAACAAATGTATGGCAAACAACTTGGGTTTTTCAATGAAAAATGGATTACAGATTACCCTTGGATTCACCTATGTCATTCCAAAAAGAAAGTATTTTGCTATATTTGCATTGGTGCTGTCAAGAAAAATCTGGTATCTTTTTCAAAATGCGGTAATTAAACTTTTTGACAATTAATTATGACAATTGGAAAAAAGCTGTTGAGAAAACACAACCTATCATATTTTAATAAGGAGGCACAGGAAAAATTACTTGCAATACGTGCAGCAGGTTTAAAAAAATACATCAAATGATAAGTGAAATGCATGATAAGCAATGTTTACAAGTGCTTAATTCTTGTAATTTCTTCATTAAAATGTGTTACTCAACAAGGCTTAGCTTTTCGACGGAATGATGAGATTGAAAGCAATCTTAATCAGTTACTTTTAATGAAGAGTGAAGATTATCAAACAGTACATGTCTCATGATATTGTCAAACAGTACATGTCTCATAATATTGTACATAAAAACATGTCTCATAATATTTTTAATGAGATGATAGAACTTATGGCAAATGTGGTAAGAAATGTGCTTAGTGCTATTAAATCGATAATTTTTTTTCTGCAACATGTAATGAAACTCAAAACATTTTCAGTATTGAGCATATGTCTATATGTGTTCGATCAGTTTCTGAAAATTTTACAATATACAAAGATTTTCTTGGTCTCTATGCAGTTGATGGTACCGACTTTTTTATGCAATATAAGATGTCTTATTAAGATGTGGACTAGACAAAAAAATATTGCAGAGGCAAAGTAAAGATGGTGCCGCTTTAATGTCAGGGCATCTAAGTGGTGTTGCTAAACTATTTCAAGATGCAATGAAGCTATTTTTATACATTATTATGCAACATCTGCTCAATGTTGTTCTTCAAGATGCTTGTAAACAAGTCAGTTGTATGAACAAGGGACAGGAATTGTGCCAACTGTTGTATAATTTCTTTTGTTTAGCTCCAAAGAGACTGGTAGAAATGTGGTTTGTATTAAAAATCCGAGTAGTGCATAGATTTTATTACATGTCTATTATTCAATTTAGTCTCTCAAGATGCTTAAACATGGAAGAACCTACCAGTTTTAGTATCAAAACGCAAATCATAATATACTGATAAAAAAAATTAGCTGCTAAGTTAAGACAAAATTTTATTATTATTCGATAATACTTAACACTAATGAGAAGCTCTGATTTGTTTTTTTTTTTGCTCATTCCAAAATAGTTTCATGAAGTCTGCAATATATGTATATATATATATATATATATATATATATATATATAAACACACACACACACACACACATATTTTACCACATGTATTTACCACATATTGTCAATTATTAGACTCTTTATCGTTTATCGTACACATACCATATTTATGCATGATAAACTATAAATAAAAACAGGTTTTTCTGCGTACTTATCTCAATTTGACCAAAATTTGTACTTACCATATCTGTGCACTAAAATGGTATAGTAAAAACAAATGTTTTCATTGATTTTTGAATAAGACAAATTTAATCAACTGCTTCCTAAACTTTTTTCCAATCAATTGGTTAGTTACTTCTTTGTGTAGATGATGAAAGTGTATTTTTGAGTAATTTTTTGAAATAAGTTTAATCAGTGAAAATAAATGCTTATCAGTTAAAGACGAATCAAGCATATGATGAGCTAGTTCTGTGAATACTTTTCAGGGGCGGATGCAGCATTTTTTGGTGTTTGAGATAGCTAACTTCCAGACATGGAGCAAACTCCAAACATTCATATGTTTATACTTATATCAAATAAGAATGGTTTGCAAAAAATTGCGATGATTGGAGCCTGGGAACAAAAAAGCCCTAAAATTTGAGACGTACCTGCCCCAAACGTGAGAGCAACAGGATGATATAATATTTTTTGTACTATTCTCAACAAGACTTATATTTATCCATAAATTTTAAATTTCATTGTAAAATATTTCAGCGTTCAAAAATTATGACCATGTAAAGTTTGAATCCCCCTCAATTCGAGGGGGTCACAATTTTTATATTTTCATAATTTTTAAGCGCTAAAATATTTTACTATGAAATTTAAAATTTATTGATAAATATAATTCTTGTTGAGAATAGTACAAAAAATATTTTATCAACTTGTTGCTCTCACGTTTGGGGCAGGTACGTCTCAAATTTTGGGGCTTTTTTGTTCCCAGGCTCCAATCATCGCAATTTTTTGCAAACCATCCTTACTTGATATAAGTATAAACATGTAAATGTTTGGAGTTTGCTCCATGTCTGGAAGTAAGCTATCTCAAACACCAAAAAATGCTGCATCCGCCCCTGCTTTTGATAGATTAACTCATCTCAAAACAACACTTGCATTTGCATTTTTAATTTCTATATCATTAGGCAGGGTAATATTTGTTGATGTAAGAAACCTTTGGTAACATCTTTCTGTTCCTTCGCATACCAAAACAACACTTTTGTTTGGTTTAACCAAACCTCTTCTAGAGAATTTATTATTAATAAAATGTAACACACATATGTTACATTGTCATGTGTTAAACTGTCAATTATTATACTTCAAACTTTGAGGAATAATCATTCACAGTTGAGTTTGACAATGTTTTTAAATCTAAGTCATTGAGAGATTCTTTTTTACTTCGGAATATAAATATTATTTTATATTTTCACTGATTATTGAGTCCAGAAAGTTAATGCATTAAATAATAAAATGACTTTTAAAATCCTAGAAAAAACCTCTGAGTTGTGTGTAATCACAGTTCTCAGCTAATAGTTCATACAGCATTTGTACAATGATGTTTCTACCTACAAAACTCATGATTTTAAAATTCTTTAAAGAATGTAGGTAGACAACGTTGCTGCTTACCATACAGTTGTGTTATTAACTTTCTAGCACTCAGCATTGGGTAATTAAGAACTAAAAGGTACATAAATTATAAACCTCATTTAAAAAGTGTATACTAGCTGAATATTTTAATAATTAGGAATCAAATAAATTTATTTCGCCATCTTATTTTTCTTAAAAATAGTTTACTTTTCTTATTCGGTCAGAATTTTTATACTATTCAAACCGCTAAATGTTCTAACGCCATCTTGGGAGGCCAAAATTGGTTTCAATTTTTTTTTACGAAAAACAATAGAATTCGCTTTCCAGTTATTATTTGAAGATCAGTGGTTATTATATTATTTTTCATCTCATTTATCCAATTTAATTAAAATATATATATATCTATTTTAAAATATTGTGATTAGCATATTTTACTATTTTGTTAAAAGTTATTTTATCAATTTAAATACCCTTGTATAACTGCTTTATAACTCTATACCAATAAGTTTCGAAATAATACGGTTATTTTAGAACTCTATTTGTAAAAAAAAATTCAAATACCAAAAAATACCAAAACAAAGTTGGGAGACAAAAAAACGAATTGATTTCTGTCAAAAATTAGAATTTTAAGTCTTTGAGAAAATAGTAAATTCGAAGTGTAGAGAGTAATGGTTGCCAACAATCTCTAATTTAATTTTTAAATAATCTATAATATGATCTATTCCACTTAGGAATTTCATTTTACTTTACAATATTCATATTAGTATAATAGGCCGGGCGAATAAAAACGAGCAATTGCTTTTACTCAGTAATTGGTCAGCATTACGTGAATAAAAGCTAAATAAATTTTTGTTTAGCTTTTATTTACGTAAAGCCGAATAGTTACTAAGTAAATTGCTTAACTTTACGTGAATAAAAATTTGAGCAAAACTCTTAATGTTTTTATTCTCGTAAAGCTGACCAATTAACGAGTAAACGCAATTGCTCATTTTTATTCACCCGGCCTACTATGTACTGCATTTTTACAAAAACATTATTTTTGACGTCAAAGTTTTTTTACAAATAAATTTTTATTAATAAAACTATCATTTTAATTAAAATGTTTTCAAATACATGAGGCATTCTTAATTACATAAAATGCATTTATGTTTCACAAAAGTTAGTATTTAACGAGTAATTAAACATTTACTAAAAGAAGTTAGCAAACCAAAAATGTCGGTTTTAGTTTGAAACGTTTCAAAAAATGACGCTAAGAATTCCGACCCGCATAGAACATCAGTAATTGGCGGTGTCTTTGATTTATAACAATGTTGTTATATAACAATGATGTTAAACGTCCATCTATTAAAACATCCTTGATCATCTTAAACAAATTTACCAAGTACTATCATATTTTAAAATTAAGCACGCCAACAGTAGATAAGCATAAAATATTAAGGATATAATAAATTGATTTCTTTTCGTTCTGATATAATTAAAAAATATTGAATAATAAAAAATTATAACGGAAATGATATATATTAGTTAATTTTTAACAAAAATACAATAAAAGAATATAAACCATACAACAAAAAATATTAGAACAAATAATACCTTCGAATTTAAATCGATATACTTATTCGAAAAAACTTGCAAAATATTAGTAGTCTACCCATAAAAAAGGCTATACAATATTAGAAACCTGCTTATATTATTTGAAATATAAAATTACCAAGCCAACATTACCAATTAGAAACACTTTTACAATTTAATACTGTTGCTATAATACGATTCATATAACATCAAAAAAAAAAAAAAAAAAAAAAAGGAAAGATAACCCATTATCAACTTTAAGTTTTATTCATCTAAATAAATAAAATTTAGTAAAAAAAAAAAAATTAAGAATAAAAAAAAACTTTAAATAATCATAAAGTGAATTTTATAAATGAATAAATTGTTCATCGTTCATAAAAAGAATGGAAACCAACAAAAATACCAAAAAAAAACACGCACTTTATTTGTATTTCTTCATCGCAGTCCAAGATTCAATTAAAGTTTTTAACGACCGATTTGGAATTAAGTACATATGAGACAAGGAAAGGTTTGTCATAGGGCTTGTTGCTTTTCCTGATGAAAACCACTTCATAATTGATTCTTTTTCATAAGTGAAACCATCTTAACAAAGTATGCAAAAAATATATATGTAAAAATAAACTTGATTTTGAAAAAATGATTTTTTAATTTTGATTATAGCAAAGTGCTCTATTAATAACCGGGTTTTATCAAGAGCCAAATTTTTGTCCAATTTTATTGCAATTAATTATTTTGCAAAACATTTACCTGGTTTATCAATGTAATTTTATGTTTATTTAATATATCTATGTTTTGCTCTAACTTTTATAAAGGTTTCATTCAGTCTTGATTTTTGAAAAATTTAAATGAAAAATAAAATGTCAAAGTTAATTTAAGTAAATACTTTATACCGTTAGTAGTCATATTTAGTTTTTTCAAACAGCTTTGAGACGTATTTAGCGCAATATACGTTCAGCAATTGGTTTTTGATCTGTTGTGTTACTTTATTTTATTACTATGTATAATATTATTACATAAACTGTTTTGTTGGTCAATATACAATAGACAGCATAAGTACAACCTAAACTCTCAGATTTCGAATAGGTCTCAATAATAGCAACTCGTTTGACTAAATTAGAGACGAGGCTCCTATTTTTATTCGACATGGTCATTATTAAGACAATAGTTTAGTTTATTGTGTATATAGACTATTTTCTAAACTTTATTACAGTTTGTATATAAACTGTAAATATACACTCTAAAAACAGTCCATTTAAAAAAGTCACGGATTGCGCTTTTTCGTTAAATTAACGGATTAATTCGTTACCAAAAACCAGAAAATTAACGGAGTAAAAATTAACTATTTACGGATTCTTTGAAATTTCGTTAATTCAACGGATTAAATATTCTAATCGGTCAAAAAAAATTTTCAGTATATTATAGCTTTTTATTTTGAAAATGATAAAGTTTTGAATGCGTTTTTCTCACATTTACATTTACATCGTAGATAAAAGTTGGTTGCAGTAAGTGTTATATGCCTTTTTTTAAAAAGCTTTACATTTAGTAGACAAAGCAAATGGATAAATATAATTTAAATTGCACTCTGTTATTTGTAATTTCGAAGGTTATTTAGATTATTTTAAACTTTCTATATAAAGCTATATATAGAAAATTTAACAATAAGGTTTATTTTGTTTTAAATTAAAAGCCATTAGTATTACTAAATAATATATAATAACATATATGGTAAGTTAATACATATCATATATGGTAAGTTACTACATGTCTAAATCTAGAAAATTATGCAAGAATATATGCAATCCATATAGTCTATAATATAGAAATAAAAGTTCAACTAATCCTTTACTAGTAGTAAAGGGTTAGTTGAACAATTATTTCTATAATACAGACTGAATGGATTATTTATAGTTTTTTTTAACTTTATATTTTAGACATATAACATGTAGTAACATACCATATTAGTTTAAATCAGTTGTAAAATTAAAAATGTTGACATCTTTGATAGGTATATTTATTTAGGTTAGTTACAGTTAAATTTAAATGGCTAGTTAATATGCTTTTATAAGTTGCAATTTTTATTAACTTCCAAATTAAACATGTGGCATCCAATATCATAAACTAATTTTATACTGGTGTGTTTATATTATTTTAGAATTTTTTGTTTTAGACACATGGCATTTGTTATCCCACTGTAAGTTATAACTAGTTGTAAAATTAAAAAATTGATATTGGAACTTCTATTTCTTTTAACATTCATGTTTATTTAATTGATTTACAGCTAAGGTTATATATGAATTATTTATACTATCTTAGAATTTGCTGCTTTAGAGGCACGGCATTTAGTGTCACATTGTAGGTTTAAATTGGTTGTAGAATTTATATTGAAACTTGCATATTTATTTACTTGAGTTTAATCTAAGTTTATATTTGGTGCGTTTGTATTATTTTAGAATTTACTGTTTTAGACACGTGGCATGTGGTACCCCACTGTAAGTTTGAATTGGTAAATTAAAAAAAAAATATATTTTAACTTGCATTTCTTTTGACGTTCATGTTTGTGTATGGCACATTGTATATAATATAATAGGTATGTGTATGGCTTATATTATTTCAGAATTTGCTATTTTAGACACTTGGTATAAGCTGTCATACTGTAAGTTTAAATTGGTTGTAAAATTTATATTGTAACTTGCATTTCTATTGGCGTGCATATTTATTTAGTTGAGTTTCAACTATTAATAATAATAATAAGTTTATATCTGGCGTGTTTATATTATTTTAGAATTTGCTGTTTTAGACACGTGACTTGTGATATCCCACTGTAAGTTTGAATTAGTAAATTTAAAAAAAATTGTGTTTTAACTTGCATTTCTTTTGGCATGCATATTTATTTAGTTTAGTTAAGACTAAGTTTATATCACACTTTTTTAACTATTATTCTACTATATTCTATATTCACTATTATTTTAGAAAAAGCTATTTTAAATATGTGACAAGTGGTATGACACTGTAAGTTTAAATAAATTGTAAAATTAATTTTTTTATATAGTTGCTTGCGTTTTTTTTGGTCTGCATATTTAATCTTGCTTTGATTTATCATAGTTTTTAAAAGGTTAGAGTCCTTATTTTTTACTCCTGATAGGTATTGATGTATGTGAAATGTATAGAGTCTTTCAATTATCAGATAATGTCAAGGTAACCTTATACTTTTTTTTTAATTTACATTTTAATAAAGATATAATTTACTTGTTCCATTTAACTTTATCTTTAGAAAACGATATCAGAGATAATTAAAATAACAAAATTTAGAATAGAAATTTATATATAATGAATTACCAAAATCATTTTTTATAGTGTTATCAATAACATTTTATTTTGGTTTTATACTAGGTATGTTGTTAAGTTCCATATTTTTCTTATTTTATTTTATATTAATCTTTAAGGAGTTGACAGCATGGGTCCGATTTTAAGTCCGTTCCTGTGTACGAGTAACAACAGTATTCAAAACCAAAACCTATTTAAACCAACCAAACTAAAACCAGCGACCAAAAACTAATATCTTGGCATTGATTTATTTTAAACATCTATTATATATGTGTGTGTTTTATATAAATGTACTTGAGTATAGTGTATTAAAAATATTTTTTTTAACTATTTTTATTGTAATTTAAAGTATATTGGATTAAATATTATAGATATTTGATTAGTTTTCAATTTTTGGTTAAAACGTTTTAATGTAGAATATCGAAATAAAATAATACAATTAAATAAAAATGCAAACATTAACAAATATAAGGATTATTTGGTTATGAAGTCACAATTCTGGCTTCTCTAATTTTAGATTTATGTGATTTTAACGAAATAATCACTAAAATAACTAATGAACACATTTATTTCATAGGAAAAACAACCGCGAAAAATTTGCTGCCTAGTGTAATAACTCCTTAATTTTAACGGATTATTTGTTGCACTAACAAAATAAATCCGTAAATTTAACGGACTATTCCTAACGGAGTACAATTCGTTAAAATTTTAATTCGTTAACTTAACGGATTTCCCGTTAGTGCAATAGCGACAGATACAATTCGTTGTATATAACGGATTTTTCCTTAGAGTGTATATATATATATATATATATATATATATATATATATATATATATATATATATATATATATATATATATATATATATATATATATATATATATATATATATATATATATATATATATATATATATATATATATATATATATATACAGTTAATATATAAACTGTGTATATTTATGTTTCAGATTTAGCCATAAACCAAAGTTTAAAGTTTAAACGTTCAACTCCTTCAGAAAAATGGTGGCACTCATTTAATCAGCGAAAAAATTAGTTTTTAAAAGGCCTGAAGTCACTTCATTAGTTTGTCATCAATATATGTCTGTAATAATAATCCTTTAGTAGCTTAAATAAGGTGCGGTCGCATTTTTGAAGCCAATTTCACGTGTATTAAAGAATTTCAACTATATGTATCTGATCGATTATATGTATCTGAAGAATTTCAACTATATGTATCTAAATTTCAAACTACAATGTATCATTCTTGGAATATCAATTAGCTCAATAAAGTTGTGAGAATCGTGCCAATCCAGAATCAATATCTGAGTACGTTGAGAACCAATATTTTCTAATAATGTAAACCATTAGATTCGCTATTTGTTCCCAGAGGTGCAGAGTCAGTGTTAAAACCCATAAATGTCTTTCTATTCACTATAAACTAAGGTAAAACGAATTTACCCTGTGCATTCACACTTCCAAAAAAAAGTGTTTAACTCTCGATTTCCAATCTTTCGAATATGGAGGATTTTGTGACTTTTCTGGCAACCACTTTTCTTGGTTTTTCGTTAAGTTGTAGACTAGAACATATTCCATATGGATTTTGAATTAACTTGAAAATCATTTTTTACTGTGACGTCATTCAAAGCATTTAAGTTTTTTGAAACTTTATTTTTATCCATGCACTGATGTTGAACTAAAACTGTACCACAGTCTATGCAGCAAGTTTCCCAGCATAAAATTAAAGTAAGTTTATTATTTGATCAAAATAATGTAAAATTTAATGCTCTCTCTCATTATATAAGAATTTATTTGTCTTTGAATTCAAACACTATATTAAATATCTTGTTTTCAAAAAACTCTTGAACAAGGTATTTAACCATAGCAGTTAAATAAACTGTACTCCCAACTGTAAAAATTATTATTCTGCTGGTGGCTTATTTTTTTAAGGTGAGGTTAATTTTGATTGTTCATTATATCTTGACAGAAAGCAGCTGTGCATATTTATACGGCTCCTTAATAAGAACTTATTGCATGTACTTTCGATGTCTCACTGAGGTTTTTATTCAAAAACTAAAATATTCAATTGTATATAAAAGAAATATTTCAAGTAAAAATAAATTATTAAACATTATAAGTTTATATCATAATCACTTCTAAACACCATCATGTTTGAGAATGTTCAAAACTATCAGTAAAGTCTTGGCTAAGCTTATGATACTGCGGATCTAGCAGTTCACTAAATGTACCAGTCACAACTCTCTCAAACTTCCTCAATGTATCAAATAAACGGAACAGCTCTATCAGATTTACTAATGCAAGACTGTCTACATCTTTCAATATTACTCTTGAAACATTACCATCATATGTACCTCCGCGATAACCTTTCCGTATAAAACTAAACCTTTTAACCCATATTTTACACCTGCCCTGAGAGGTAGAATATAATTAAAAATTTGGTTTACCCAATCAATGAGAAGACAAAGTTCTGATTAAGGTATTACGCTTATGAGTAGCTCTTCAGGATCATCTTCCTTAATAAGAAAAGGCTTTACAAAATTCTGAGTGAAATTCCCAAATTATATATATATATATATATATATATATATATATATATATATATATATATATATATATATATATATATATATATATATATATATATATATATATATATAAATATATATATATATATATATATATATATATATATATATATATATATATATATATATATATATATATATATATAACTATTATTATTTGATATTTGTATTAGCATGTAAAAATTTACGGCTTTTGGCGTCAATGGAATTTTTTTCAATTGAACAGGATAATTTTATAGGTCCGCCACCTTTAAATTTCTTTTCTAAGTATGTGCCACCTACAGTATTCTAATTTTTATGGTTTTGTGTAAGCTGAAGGTTTTTTAAATAGGATCAATAAAAATATTTATGGTGTTCCAAAATCGAACCTAAAAGTTAAATATCTAACCTGTGTCTGAAATAGATACAGGTCAGATATTGACCTTTTAGGTTCAATTTTGATATACCCCGAATATTTTTATTGATCCTATATAAAAAACCTTTAGCATACACAAACTTAAGCTTTGTCTTAGGTTAAAGTGGTAACTGATCAACTAGTTGTATATTAATAAATTTTTCTTAATTACTATTTCAATTATTAAGCAATTTTAAAAGCAATATATATTGATGTATTTAAAACATCGATAACTTAAGTACTAATTGTTTTTTTGTGTTTTTTTTTGACTTACATCGATTTTTATATAATTGATTTTTAAATATACCAAATTTATCTTGTTTAAAATATCAACTTAAGAATTTATCATTTTTGAAATAAGCGTTATCAATTTTAGAAAACCTAAACAAACCTAAACCAATAATTTTTTTCTGATACAAAAAAAAAAAAAAAAAACAAATAGTTGAATTGTAACCTTTGACAAAAAAATCTTTTGCTTATTTTAGTTTATAAAATTTATAAAAAAGTAATTACTGATAAAAATTAATTTTCAGAAATGGGGAAAGAAAATATCACTAAAAAACTTGACGTATAATGTTAATTTAAATCCACAACGACCACTTTACTTTCAGAAGTCCAAATTCTGTTTTTCCTCTGCATTAATTTCCCATAAATGGAATAGTTCAACGATGTTTTCAGTTTTTACACAAAAAAGTAAAAGTATTTAGTCTAGAAAAATGCAGAGTTAATGATTGTTTTATATTGGATTGCAAAATTGATTAAGAAATGGGTGAGGTCTCTCATAATTCAGAATAATCTGAGGGATCAGTTAAGTTACATCATAATCTTTAATTTTAAAATTTTAAATATTTTTTTTAATAACTTAAAATTTAATTCACTATATAAAGTTAAAGCTTTTGTTACTTAGGTTCTGCTGTTAACCAGTCTTCTTGATTTTTATTTTCCAGAAAGAAATCAAAATCAGCACCCAACACACACAAATGTAATGCGTCAAAAACCCACTAAGTAAAGCTGTTCAGAAGTAGCAATAGAATTTGACAGAGACAAGCTTCTATTAGCTACAACATCTGCAAGTGTTAGATGCGAAAATAGCATTATTTCACAAACAATATTTCTAGGAGCTATTTTATAACAGCTCCTAGAAACATTGTTTTAAGGGTAAATATTCATGACTTAAATATATCAAGAAGCTCAATAGCTGGAAGTAGAATTATGTATATGGAAGATTTAGGTATTTTTTATTTTTCCAACCAAAATATTTATATTAAAACAAAAAAATAAAAGTTTATACGGAGAAAAAAAAATCTTTAAAATTTTTTTTACAACAAATGAACATAATTACCTAGTAAAATAATTGACTTTTTATCATTGTTGAATTTGATAACCTTAAAAAATTCATCAACCTGGAGCCTGTCATGAAGCAAGATTTATGGCTGATGTTTTGTATATTCTTACACTTGAAATGATACCTATTATAACCTTTTTACCTAATGAAAATAAAAAGGAAATAGAAACGCGTGCCTTTATTATTACTGCTTGTTATGCT